CTTTCGGTACTGTCTTGCTTTGTAAGTTCAGCAGTCACTTTCTTGTGGGTCCTGCATGTCCAGTTTATACAGCAATAAAGAGTCCAGGCAAGAGCAGTTTCTTGCCCAAATGGCTAATCTGCCATGTTGAAAGCAAACTCCATAACGAGTTTCTTCGATGCCCATCCTCCTTTCTGACATAAATGGTGTGCCAGGAGCAGTTGTGTGTCATTGCCAAGAAATGCCCTAAATCATTTAAATGCCATATTTCTGTAGGTCTTTGAAAGGTTTGAAGAATACCTAACCATTTCAAATACATCTCTATATCTAGAAAACCTAACTAACATAATTATAAATTCTGACTATGATAGGTAAAAGATCTGTATAAACACAATATCTAAACAAGAGGAGACATACACATATCACAAAATTGACCTTAAAGTTGTGTCAATAAATGAAAATCTATACCAATTCAAAGTATTCATTCCTATATCCTATTCCCCTTTTTTTCTTAAAAAAATTGACTATGCTCATTATCATTTATAACCATCCCAATTTAAATGAAAACAAACATTTATAAACAATATTTGGAATATGGGAGTTGTTCTTTCTAAACTGCTTCCTGCTGATTGGGGACGATGCTCATATACCATAGGGATCATGATAAAACATAGAATCCTGACCAAGTACTTCTTTTTGTAGTCTGTAAGGCTGTATCCTCTCAGCTTCAGGGTGGTCTTGCTTGATCAAACCATATTAGTCTGGAAGGAATCCACAGCTTTTCATTTTCTGTGTAAATATAACCAAAACCTTTATTTCTAAGTAGCCTGTCCTTAAACTTAAATTTTGAAATTAGAGCATTTTTAAAATTTATAAGTTGGATTAATTTAGCAGCATTTATATTCAAATGTTATGCTCCCATGGTTGCCTTCCCCAGCATATGTACATACACAAGCAAACATTTCTCTGCTAACTGTTTATGTCTGAGTACCACACAGCCAATGAATACCTGCCTGACAGCAATCCCTGGACACCCTGGAAAGAAAATGGGCCACACCTCCTTGACTGCCCTGGATCCAACTTGCTTCATTTCAACTGACACTCCTGCCAAAGCTTCAGTACTGACATCAATCAAGTTGAGGATTTCAAGCAAGTTCTTCAGTCAAGCGAATCCCATCTAACATGGACTGGATACAATCCATTCAAGACTTTCACTATACTAACATTTATTCCTACAGGACCTCACAAGGCTATCATCATCCCATTTCAGCAGGAAGTAACTTGGAGGATGCTATGCCTCCCTTTCCCCATTGTTGTCATTTAGGATAGTGTATATGCCTAGTTAGGGATAGCTTCCTATTGTTTATGGTTGGGATTGGAAAGAAGTATTCAGGCTTGGACACCTCCTTAAGATGACTTTAGGGTATAGTTAAAATAGATAGGATGTGACATAAGCAGATTGTTGTATCTTCTTTTATTTCACCTTTATGGTTGTTAATTTTGGATACTGTTCATTTTTACACTGTTAAGTCTTAGTCCTCTTTTAGACTAAAAGGGGAATTGTAGGGGAAGCTGTAGCCATGCCTACTTAGGGCCTGGCTACAGGTCTGCCTGACCAAATGCGAGGGCGTGGTCAGGGTGATGTAGAGTGGGTTTCGCTTTCAGTTTCACTTTTGGCTTGCTGTACAGAGTGCTGCTGCGCCAGCTGGCTAGGTTTC